CACTTTTGGAGTATTGTGTGCAGTTCCGGTCTCCTTCCTATAGAAAGGATGTTGGGAAACTTGAAAAGATTCTGAAAAGATTTGCAAGGATGTTGCCAGTGTTGGAGCATTTGAGTTATAGGGAGAGGCTGAATAGGCTGGGGCTATTTTCTCTGGAGTGTTAGAGGCTGAGGGGTGACCTTATAGAGGTTCATAAAATAATGAAGGGATGGATAGTGTGAATAGGCAAGGTCTTTTCCACAGGGTGGGGGAGTCCAAAACTAGAGGGCATAAGTTAAAGGTGACAGGGGAAAGATATAAAAGGGACCGAAGGGGCAACATTTTCATGTAGAGTCGGTTACGTGTATGGAATGAGCTGCCACAGGAAGTGCTGGAGGCTGATGGATGGGTATATGAACAGCAAGGGTTTAGAGGGATATGGACCAAATGCTGGCAAATAGGACCAGATTAATTTGATACCTAGTTGGCATGGACGAGTTGGACTGAAGGTCTGTTTCTGTGCTGTACATCTCTATGACTCTAATCTGCACCATCCTGGTATGAGTTACAAATCTTAGGTACGAAAATAGATTAGTTACAAAAATAGAGAAATAAAGAGAAAAGCTAAAAGTTCTATGTTACATTTCTTCATAGTGTAAGTTAGGAAACTAAAGTAATATAGTTAAAAGATAAAAGTTAAAAGATCATCAACTCATAGCAAATTTGCCTCTGTGCATGTCATTTATTCATTAACAGGATGAGGGCATCACTGGCTAGGCAGCATTTATTGCCCATCCCTAATTGCCCAGAGGGCAGTTCAGAGTGAACTGCACTGCTGTGGCTTTGGAGTCACATGTAGGCCAGACCAGGTAAGGATGGCAGTTTCCTTCCCTGAAGGACGTTAGTGAACCAGGTGGGTTTTTCCCAATATTCAACAATGGATTCATGGTCATCATGAGGCACTTAATTCCAGATATGTTACTGAATTCAAATTCCACCAGCTGCTGTGGCGGGATTCGAACCAGAATGTTATCCAGGTCTCTAGATTAACAGTCCAGCGATAATACCACTAGGCCATTGTCTCCCCTGGTGAGATGGTTAGTAGGCTGGGGGGAGGTGGGCAGACATAGGTGTTACCCAGCCCTGGCCCAATGGTCATCCTACATGTTACTCCAAAGGACACCCAATGTTGGGCGACTATCATTTTAACATCTGCCAAAAGGTTAAAAAGAAAAGCTTGTGTTAGTAGTTGTACATGATCCACAGACTTTAGCAATTAGGCTTCAATTTTAGGATTAGAGTTAAAGACTTAAAGCAGGCTTTTTGACCCGGTTTTAAATTTTAAAGGCAGAGCTGTAACCAGGAATGCATATTTCTTTAAAAATCACAAATATATTGATGCCTTTTAGCTGCCATCACAGAGATTTTACTCACTCCGCTGCAGCATCAGAAATAGAATGAGTCACCATTATTATTATAGAAATTTAAAAATCAACTCTAAAGTTGACAGCCCAGAGTTTTGACAGCCCAGTTCAGCTAGGCAAAAGCTGCTGTACATGGGGTTGTAACTGTTCTCTGAGGATGTTATCAATAAACGAGGTGGATAAAGACTGCAGCTTTGAACTTCCAGGCATAGGGAAAAATTACATGGATTACTGGTTAGTCTCTGGATATTTATGTTGGTGTCAGACATTAGCTGCTCACGAAGCTACTGGAGTTTCATACCATCTGCACAACACTTTCAGTTATAACTTCGATGGTACTTGATACTTTTGGAGCATCACAAGAGTTTAGGGTTCCTATGTGAGGTGATGGGATGAGCTGGGAAAGGTCCAGTCCCACTAGAAATGCAATTCGAAGAGGTCCTATTACTTCTTTTTGTTTTAAAAAGTGCTGCAATAATCACAAGATAATTGTACGCTCATTCCAGTTGAAATCTTGTCCGTTCTCTGGCCTTGTAAATCAGGGGCTGAGCTTGTAAAATGGATGTCCCGGAGATTGTGGATATCAGCGAGTGATGGGATCTTGCTGTGTAGGACATTTGCTTAATCTTCATTATCTGTGTTATCATTGTATTGCCTCATTATGTTAAGGCAAAGTGGGGGGAAAAGAGCATTTCAGCACGTTGACCTCGAGTTCTGCAATCTTATAACCATTTCGAATGTGGTTTCCTCTGCTCCATTCTTTATATTGGTGTTCCAAAGGACAGAATAGAATCCCCACTGTGTGGAAATAGGCCATTGAGCCCAACAAGTCCACACCAACCCTCCAAAGAGCATCCCACCCAGATCTATCCCCCTACTCTGTCCCTGTAACCCTGCATTTCCCATGGCTAATGCACCTAACCTACACATGCCTGGACACTGTGGGTAATTTAACACAGTCGCCCGAGGCTGGAATCATATCAGGGTACCTGGCACTGTGAGGCAGCAGTGCTAACCACTGAGCCACTGTGCTGCCCCCTGTAGCTGGGAATGCAAAGCTAATCGGTTGATGGTTTCGTGCTATTATCGTAAAACTCTAAATCCAAAGATCCACATAATGGTCTGGGAATCCTGTTTTGAATTCCAGCATGGCAGATGGTGAAATTTGGAATCCAAGTCTGAAATTAAGAGTCTAATGATAGCCATTGTCGATTGTTGGAAAAATCTACCTGGTTCACTAATGTCCTTTCACTAATCCTTACCTAGTCTGGTCTACATGTGACTCCAGACCCACAGCAATGTGGGTGACTCTTAACTGCCCCCTGAAATGACCTAGCAAGCCACCCAGTTGTAACAGTTGCTAGAACGTCTCAAATAGGGAATGGCCTACATCACGTAGACTGTAGAGATTCAAAAAGGCAGCTCACCACCACCGACTCAAGCAGCATCTGGGGACAGGCAATGAACGTTGGTCTAACCAGCGATGCTCACGTCATGAATAAATAAAAATAAAAATTGACTCTTCTATCGGAGGCCAGCTACATCGTGCATCTCGAGTACAAGGTCTAAAGACCTTTTTAGGCCTGTCATACGTTTCCACTGCTTGATTTATCACCATATTATTTCTGTTACTGTCCTTAAATGTTTTATACTTTGACAGGCAGCTGGTACTTTCCTTATGGTAAAGGTTGCTGGGGGTTCAATGGGGTGACAGTGGTCTTTGAATGGCATATGAGTATTTGTATGGGGCCTTTGGGAGTGCATCAGTATTTGTCAGGAGTCACTTGCAATAAGAAAGTCAGAAACCTCTCAGTTCCACCACAATATACAGTATCCACATGTTCTAAAAGGTATTGGAATGGCATTACATTGCTGGTCACAGCTCTGGGATTATAGGCTTATCAGAGCAATTAGGAAGGAAGAACTTGCAAAAATATAACATTGAATCACATTCTAGAGATAATTCAAAATATTCTTTTAAACTGAGATCTCAGTTTTGAAGTGCAGATATTATTATCTATGGTGAAAGAATAGCCAATTTAGAGTCATAGTCATAGAGTTATATAGCACAGAAATAGACCCTTTGGTCCAACTTGTCCATGCTAACCAGATACCCTATACAAATCTAGTGCCATTTACCAGCAGTTGGCCCACATCTCTCTAAACCCTTCCTATTCATATACCCATACAGATGCCTTTAAATGTTGTAAGCATCCCAGACTCCACTACTTCCTCAGGCAGCTCATTCCATACACACACTACCATCTGCATGAAAAAATTGTCCCTTAGGTCCCTTTTAAATCGTTCCCCTCTCACCTTAAACCTATGCCCTCTCATTTTTGACTCCCCCACCCTGGGGAAAAGACCTTCTATATTTACCCTATCCATGCCTGTAATGATTTTATAAAGGTCACTCCTCAGCTTCCACCCTCCAGGGAAAATAGCCCCAGCCTATTCAGTTCGCCCTATAGCTCAAACGCTCCAACCAAAATTGCACACAATACTCCAAAAGTGGCCTAACCAATGTCCTATACAGCCGCAATATGACCTCCCAACTCCTATGCTCAATGCACTGAACAATAAAGGCAAGCATACCAAACGCCTTCTTCACTATCCTATCTACCTGAGACTCCACTTTCAAGGAACTATGAACCTGCACTTCAAGATCGCTTTGTTCAGCAACACTCCCCAGGACCTTACCATTGAATGTATAAGTCTTGCCCCGATTTGCCTTTCCAAAATGCAGCACCTCACATTCATCTAAATTAAACTCCGTCCGCCATTCCTTGGCCCCTTGGCCTGTCTGATCAAGATCCCGTTGTACTCTGAGTTTGATCAGAATTACAAAGATGTTGCCAGGGTTGGAGGGTTTGAGCTATAGGAAGAGGCTGAATAGGCTGGGGTTATTTTTCCCTGGAGCTTTGGAGGCTGAGGGATGACCTTATAGAGGTTGGGCTGAAGAGTCTGTTTCCGAGCTGTACAACTCTCTGACTCTATGAGTTAGTGACCCACGCAGACTGGGACAAAACATCATTAAATTTGAGAGCTGATTCCATTTGACTGCATCATTTTCTGTGTTAAATCTTGGGAAGGCATTTGTGAAGAAACATGGAATATTGAGTTTAAAAGAGCTAAAGGTAGTCTCATCAATGGGTTTAACATTATTTTTAAAATATCAATAGGATAAATGCAGGGAAATTATTTCCTTCAATGAAGGAAATGAAGAACAAAGGCTATATGACAATTTTCAAAATAGAGCTAAACAACTCAATAGCAAAATCAGGGATCACTTTCACACCAAGAGAAATGGAAACATGGAATTCTCCCCCTCAATAAATCATGGGGTAAAATTGTGATTGACAGATTATTTTGTTAGACAAAGATACTAAAGGATATGGAACCAAAGTGGGCAAATAGAAATGAAATTCAGAACAGCAATAATTTAATCAAATGGTGGAACAGACTTGAACTGAATGGTCCACTTCCATCTTCCTAACAGTCTCAAAGGGCTGAATGGCTACTCCTGTTCCCATGTCTGTTGAAGTGACAAATCGGTGACATAGTCCTGGTGCATGGTTGCTAGCAACATCATCGAACCAGGTCTATTTTCAAAGCCCAGTTACTTGTACAGAAAATGCCTTTGTCCACAGAAAGTGCTCGCTTGGCGTTGTCTGTATTCGCCATCAGTCATGTCGATCCCACCAAGCCCTACATTGTATCCTTAGCCTCAGTTGTGTGCATGCAGCAACACCAATGCAAGCCAAGAATGCCTGTTGGTAGGGAGAGGAGGCTAACTCTTTAAATTCACTAAAGCAAACATCAAAAAAAAGGCAAGCTTTTCTATTGCAGATGCCAGTGCCTCAGCTCAATTTACAGATCCAGCATGCTAGCCTCAAAAAGCAAGACAGCTCAGTCCTTGGAGGTTGGCCTCTCTCTCTGGCATGCTGCTGGCTTCATTTCCAGTCCATTGCTCGTACAGCTAAAAAGATTAATTTCTGCCAACAGTTTCCACACACGTGCATTAAAAATCTGCATTGCTTGTAAGTTCAGTCAGAGGATACTATGCAGCACTGGAAGTGGCCTTTCAGCCCACTGTACATATGCCAGCACTCTGAAAGTGTTATTCAGTTAGTTCCAAGCCCAGCCAATTCAAACATTATACTCATAATTATATCAGCAAATACTTAAGACTTGTAGCACTTTTTGAAGAAGTATGGGGCATTGTCATGGTGCCTCAACTAAATCTTTTCCTCAACCAGCATCAAAGGCTACTTGAAGTTATATAGTGCCTGAATGGAGTTAAAACATCCACCCCGCTTTATTAGAGCAGTACAGTTTGGAATCTGCCACCGGACCACATTTTGAAAGGAGATTGTAAGGTAGATGGCAAAAGAAGTGGATCAAAAGAGTAGGTTCAAAGAAGGGTCTTAAAAGGAGAAACGTGGAGAGATTTTGGGAGAAAATTCTAGAACTCAGACCCGAGACAGCTCCATCAATGAAGGAACAAACTTCACCAACTTTAAGAGGCACATTGATGGTCCTATCTCTTGCCCATGGATTGTACAAATATTAGGTGAAGCCATACAGCACAGAAACAGATCGTTTGGTTCAACCAGTCCATGCTGAACATAATCCCAAACTAAACTGGTCCCACCTGGTCTATATCCCTCCAAGCCTTTCTGATTCATGTACATGTCTAAGTATCTGTTAAATGTTGAAACTGTGCCTGCATCCACCACTTCCTCTGGCAGTTCATTCCACAGGCAAACCACCTCGTGTGTTAACAATTTGCTCCTCATGTCTTTTTCATAAATCTCTCTCCTTTCACCTTAAATTATGCTCGCTAGTCTTGAAATCACCCACCCTAGAGAAAAGACACCTACCACTTACACCATCTATGCCCCTTCTGATTTTATAAACTTTTATAAGCTCACCTCTCAACCTCCTACGCTCCAGTGGAAAAAGTCCCAGCATATCCAGCCTTTCGTTATAACTTAAGCCATGTTTGTATTTGACTGTTCAATTGCCGCCTGATCAAAATAGAACATGAACTTTGATATGAAGAGTACTAAATACATTATAAAAAAGCTCCAAATAGATTGACAGTAGTGAGGAATTGGGGTGGGGGGGGAGCACATTGGGCTGGATCTGATTCAACTCACCCATGTAAATGTAGCAGGGGCCCTCTTGTGGTGCAGTGGTAGTGGCCCTACCCCTGGACTGGGAGGCCAGTGTTCACATCTCACCTGGTCCAGTGGTGTGTAATAACATCTCTGAACAGGTTGATTAGAAATACCTAAATGCATTTACCAACAGAAGTCATTTGTTGCAATATGGAGGGTGAACACTAATGGAACTCCCCCCTCACGTATGTGGAATGAACTGCCAGAGGAAGTGGTAGTTGCAGGTACAGTTACAACATTTATAACATATTTGGATAGGAACATGAATAGGAAAGATTGAGAGGAATATGAGCCAAATGCAGGCAAGTGGAACTAGTTTAGTTTGGGAAACTTGGTTGGCATGTATGCGTTGGACTGAAGGGTCTGTTTCCATGCTCTATGACTCTATGACATTACCTCTTAGACCAGAATCACTGGGTGAATCATGGACCTGACGTGGTGAAATCAGAATAACTCAGCAACTGATGTACAAAACTGAATCTCAAGACAGCTGGTGACGTGTGATTTTACACACAAATACTTTCCTTGGAAATAGGTTTATCCACAGAATACAGCAATATTCCTACCTACTTTGTCCTAACAGTCTCTCTTTCATACATGCTCTGAGTACTTAACTAACCAATGTCCTTCATTGGTGTGTCTTAATAACAATCAATATACCATTAAGATGTAATGATCTGTAATAGAATAGTGGAAGGATCCATGATAGGAGGAGGACATGCCTGTTCTTTGAGAGAGTTATCCAATTAATTCCACTGCCTTTACTCTTCCCCATGGCTAATGTTTCCTGTCAGCTGTGTGACCATTCAGTAACCCAGGAGGTACCACACAGACTGTGTACAAGTCATCCCCTTTAAGTTGCCTCACTCTCACTGGCACACAAGGGAAAAAGTCAAAGTTACTGTACTTCACCAAATAGTCCACGATCAACAGAGGGTTTCTTCGCCAAAGCCTTCCAATTTTTCCCCTTTCCAATATACAATCAATTCCCTATGAATCTGCTTTCACAGCTCTTTCAGGCATTGCCTTCAAAGCAACTGACTGTATAAAATGATTCTCATCAACTTCCCTACCAGCTATTTGCTTAACTTCGACAGCTTACAACATAGGAAATAGCAGCAGAAGTAGACCATTTGGCCCCTCATTCCGGCTCTGTCATTCAACAAGATCACTGCTCCTCTGTGAGTGTTTCAAATTCCACATTCCCATCTACTCCTGGTAACCCTGGTTTCTCCAGCCTAACAGGAATCTTCCCACCTCCACTGCTTTCTGAGGCAGAGAGTTCCAAAGTTATACAAAATCCTTAGGTGAAAAATTACGCTCATCTCTGTTCTAATAGGGTGGCCCCTAATTTTAAAACAGCGTCCTCCTAATTCTGGAGCGACCCACTAAAGGATACATCCTTTCCGTGTCCACCTTGTCAAGACCATTCAGGACCTTCTACACTTAGATCACTCAACTCCCCTACTCATCCCAATTCCGGTGAGACCTTTCCTCATAAGATGATCTGCTTGTTCCATGTATCAATCCAATAAACCTCCTCTGAATCAGCTCCAATGTATGTATGTACTTACTTAAATAAGGACAGCAAAACTGTACACAGTATTTGAGATATGCCCTTACCAATGGCCCGTATAATTGAAGCACAACATCTTTACTTTCAAGTCCATTTCTTTTTGTAATCCCAGTATCCTTCTTGATTATGTACTGTATCTGCTTAGTAACACTTTATGACACATGCACCAAAAAAGCTAAATCCCATTACACCTCAGAATTCTGCAGTTTTTTTTCATTTAAGAAATACTCCGCTTTTTTTAATTCTTCCTGCCAAAATTAACAACTTCATATTTTCCCACATTATACCCTATCTGCCAGATTTTCCCACTCACTAAACCTATCTATACCTGTCTGCAGTTTCCTTCTTTTTCACAACATAATCCCAACCATCTTTGTGCCATCTACAAAGTTAGCTACTATACCTTCATTCCTCTCATCTTAATGATACTTGATATAAATGTTCTCTCAGATCCTCCACCATCAAGATAGACCTCATCAACCACTTTAACAAATATAATTAAAGCATTCCACAGATAAACACCAAGAATATATAATTTATTGTTGCTGTGCTTGTCCCTTTAAGCAAGTGTTTACACTTCTCTCGATCTAATCCCTCATGAAATTGCGTGCGTAAGATTACTCTTCCCTAAAGCAGCTTAAGTTGTATGTTTGGTCCAAAGCAATTCAATTAATCCTGTCATCTAGGTCAGTAGCTTTCTACAAAGGCTTTCTACCTACTCCAATATCCAGTGATCTAAACCAATCTTAAAGTCATAAGCCTAAGAATTATTCTGGTGATAGGAGCAAGCGAGAGGTTAATAATTGTATGTCTCAGTGGCCTCTTCTAACTTTCATTAAAGTAGGATAAGGGCTGCACAATTGAATGACATATGGTGTTACTCACTCATATTCCTAACATTAAAATCAAGCCTTTAAGTTCATGTAACATCCAAATAAAAAGCCAACAGAGAAAATGCTGAAAATAAAATAAAATCCTAGGGGGTGGTGGGGGCGGGCGGGGGAGATAGGATAGAGGCATTTAAGGGACTTTTAGAATAACACATGAATATGCAAGGAATGGAGGGGTATGGACCAGGGGCTGACAGAAGGGAATAGTTTAATTTGGCATCATGTTCGGCACAATATTGTGGGCCGAAGGGCCCGTTCCTGTGTTGTACTGTTGTATGTTCTCGGTGGCTCTCCCACATGATCAAATCCCTCCCTGGCCTATGTCCCCTTTCTATCCCTGTCACCTTCCCCAGCAGTGCAACCTCTGAGATCTCTGTGCTCCTCCAATTCAACCATGAAGCAATTTCTCAATTTTTTCTCACTGCATAATTGGCACCTGTGCCTTTGTTTCCTTCAGTCCCAAGCTCTGGAATTCTTTCCTTAAACCTTGTTGTGTCTCTCCCTCCTCTAAGTCAACGTTTTGATTACCTGCCCTGATGTTATTTCTTGACGTCACTTGTTTTGCTGTGGAGGTGCCTTTATAAATGCCAGCTGCTGTTGCAATAATGCAGTTTGATGAAGCACAGTGTATCACAAGCAATTGATTTATCCCATGATAAGTCCACAGTTGTAATCTTCCAAGATAGAGTTCCCAAGTGCCAGATGCGCTCCTGTTCCTCCCTCAAATGGTCATTCTTCACATAAAAAGCTGACCAGTGAAATATGAACACATGCATTAGGAACAGGAGTAAGCCATTCAGCCCCGTGAGCTTACTGTGCCTTTTGATAAGATCACAGCTGATCTGGGTGTGGCTTCTACCTTTCTGTGTATACCCCAAACCCTTGGCTTCCCTTGTTAGTCAAGAATCTATGTCTCTCAGCCTCAGAAATATAAACCACTGCTCTCTGGGGAAGACAATTCCACAGATTTTCACACTAAAGAAATTCACTTCACCTCCATCCTACATGGGAGAGCCCTTATTTGTAAACAGTGTC